CCCCAGCTGTCCCCCTTTAAAAAAAAAAAAAAAAAAAAAAAAAAAGGAACGTTACATTGCAGGGTTGTGGGCTAAGAATCTTATGCGGGTACGTTATTACAATGAATGAAAATCAATTGGATTACATTTTGTACGTATATAGTATATATTAAATTTGCTTGCCTCGTTTCCTCCGCCATGGCCTTGCTGCTGGGCATGCATGTTGTGGGAGTCTAGGAACTGGTGTTGGCCACCATGGCTGCACATGCACAAAGCTGTAGGAAATTTTGTGTGGAATCTCTTCAACGATCTTTGACCACTTTCTGGTACGAAAATTGTACTTGTACTTGACACATTCTCCATTCACGTATAGATAGCAAACAAACATCCTCATTGTTTGGATCGAAGGGTCGCAGGCTAACATTCGATTCATTATCCAGGTACATATTTTGGTCCAACGAATAAACCATGCGTTTACTCAAACAGAATTTGCCATCTTCTTCTGCTTTCAAATAAAATACAATCAGACTTCTGGTAGCCATGTCCAAGCCACACATCCGTATGCAACCTCCGCAAACACCAAAGTGCCGAAGGTCGTTTAAAGGCTCATCAAGTGCAATGAAAAAACACTTAGGTTTATCACTAAACGGATCCAACCCAAAAATAATAGAGCAACCATTTTCCTCCCGACCCAACCAGTACAATATTCCTTGGTGATGAAAGCCAAGACCAATCAAAGCAATGGCTCGTGGGGACGATACAACTGCCTTCGTCCATTCACCAGTCTCGGAAGAGAAAATGTCCACTTTCAATTCGAAGGAAAAATCATAATAACCCTTCTCCGAAGGACGAATTCTCACAACCTTGCACCTATACGCAGCATTATGCTGCATGACATCTCCTTTCTGATCTTCGTGTTCGTCTTCCTTGTAGTTATAGCAGGGGGTATCGCAGATGAATCCCACTCGTACCTCATAGTGGCAGTGTACGGTGTAAGTGGGAATGCGAGGAAGAGCAACCCATTGCATCGTGCATGGATTGCATATGCAGTAACGGTTGAGGTTTCCATAACACAACATTAAGTCATTATATGTCGCTACAACAGTTGGGTTTGCCCAAGGGTGGCATCTCAGTCTTACCACGTATTCCCTTGCATATATCAGGGTGCGTATTATGTGTCTTTTCTTATCGCTTTGGTAACGTAGATAGTGGTCAACAAAATAAGGATCGGAGATGAGGGTGAACCAACGCTTGCACACACACTTGCATCGAAAAATTAGTTTACTGCAAGATAGTCGGCAAAGTACTTCAATCAATACAGCATCCGGGAGATCATCAATCTTTATCGATTTCCATGGTTGTCTTCGTGACAAGGAAGACGGAAAGCTATTGCTTCCTCTCATGGCAGAACAAACATATGCGATTTGATATCTATTGTTTCCTGTCAATAACAACTTACAAAATATGAAATAATAAGCAAACAGACCTAAAAGAGACAGAGACTTATACAAGCCTGTTTCTAAAGTTTTTGAATTCCCTACTTGAATAGGATACTTAGAACTCCTTGTTTTTAAGAAAAAGAAAGGTTTTTCAATTCCCTATTTGAATAGGACACCCAACGCCGCCTTATTTTGCAGTACGTTTTATTTATTTATTTTAAAACTGAATTAATTTCTGAATTCTTAATCGAAATATTGGGGTTTCTAAGTTAGAAAAATTTACAGGCAATGTTGAAATTGAGGATTTTACCTGGTAAAGATTCAAGATCGGATGGATGATTTTGATAAGCACCCAAATAGAAATAGCATGAAAGTAAAGACTAGGAATCACACCAGATATGCAAATTGTCTTCTATGATATGATTCGTTGTAGTTCAAACAGATGAAACGTTGTGAGGAAACGCGTGGGATACCAATACAACTAAAACAGAATCTGAAAGCAAATTTACCTATTCCAAATTTCAGGGGCGGAGCTATTGTATAGATAAAGCTTTGAAACCATTTATATGTGTTGTATGGGTATGGGGATTCACCGATACGACAAAACTCCAAAAATTAGAATACGGGTACGGCACCGATAGGATGATTAAAATAAAACACAAGTCTTCATAAACAAAACACAAAACACAAGTTTCCATAGGATTGTTCAATCCATAAAAAAAGCAACACAAAAACAAATTAAAACATTGAGAAGCCACTTCCCAAATCTCTAACTCCTTAAAGTATCCGAAACGTATCGGGACAAAGTATCGGAAGGTCAAATTTCCGGAAAAGTCCATGATACTCCTATATCCGTATCGTACCTACAAGAATACCCATCCAATTAGAAATTCCGGCCAAAACCTAAATTCTAAATTGAGTTTCTAAACGCGACTATCGTCCAAAACCTACACAACAGGCAGCTAATGCGTGAAGAATAGGTGAGAAATCGTACCTTGGTTGCCGGAGATGGAAGCCGGAATCGGCCGTAGCGACGCCGTGAACAACCGAAGAAACCAGTCGATATCGCCGGCGAATTTCGAGGTTTCCGGCCGGAAAATGGGTGGGTCGGGTTCGTGGCTTCGAGACGAGTGGAACCGTACCGGTTCCGGCCCTTTCCGTGGCCGGAACTGAGAGAATCGAAGAGAGAGAATGAGGGCTGCGTCGGGAGGAGAGAGAGAAGACTGAGCACTGAGCGTGCGCGTGAGGAGAGAGAAGGAGATGTCTGATTTTTTTTCTAAAACTAACTTTGAGTTATTTACGGTTATGCCACTGAGACATTTTTTATCGCCATTTCCTCATTACATTTTTTATGCTAAATGAAAAGGATTATTCACTAATTGAGATGGAACCTTAATTCGTGGTTAATTTAATTTCAATACATACATAATATACATAGAACTTCATTAAACCTACTGACTTGTTTAAAAAGGGGGAACCATATGCACGCTAATTACTGGAGATAAATGAAAACTCATGAATCAAAAAACATTGATGAAAATAAATGTGAATTCATGAATAAAAAAACATGGCTTATATTCGTTTCATCCTATATTTATCTTTTGTATATTATACATACATATATAACCAAACAACTTTTAATGTGCTTGACTATGGTGCTGTCGGAGATGGCCAAACTGATGATTCTAAAGTAAGTGTGTCACATTTCTTTTCGAATATGTGAATGTGGTCGTGCGCGCATACGTACTTTTTTGAACTCTGTCCATGTTGAGGTAAGAAATCAAGCATAAAAAATAATAATAGAGAGAGAAGTAGTTTTTTGAATTTCACACACGATGCTTAATTGGGTGGATATATCATATATATATATGACAGGTTTTGGGAAAAATTGCGGCACCCAACACTCTGGATGCTTGGAAACAGTGTGGAAAAGAATCATGGCTATCTTTTTTTCATGTAACCAAACTCATCATCAATGGAACTGGAGAAATCAACGGGAATGGTTCACCCCGGTGGCGCAATGCTACCCATATTATAAATGTAAATATGAGGACTTCCTAGGAGGTCTCAAAATTAATTATGGATAATTCTTTGCAGGCTCTACACTTCTCCAGATGTGACAACTTTTTCATTTTTGAAACACAAGGGCGATAGTGTATTTATTAATGAGGAAAAAAAGTAACAAGTACAAAAATCGGGCACAAGCCCTAGAGGATTAGGCGAGTACTCTACACCGAGCGAAGGTTGGCGCTCGGCTACGAAGTAGCCTACCTCCTCAACCGCAAGCGGGAGGAGGAACCTTGCCTCCGATAGAGTCCCCCCCCGTCCCCCTAGTAGCATGGCCGTAAAAAACTACAAGTTGCAACCCGACGGATATGGGTAAAACCATCCCCAGTGATCTGGGTTAGCAGTGCCTTAGTGTCTTCCACCACTGGGCCCACATTGGACCTATCAACAGAAGAACTTCGGATTGCTGACATGATCTGGAGAGAATCACTCTCAAAAATTGCATTATTAAAATCCCCTTCCACCGCCAAAATTGCCCCTTCGCGAGCTGCCATTGCTTCAACTTGTAAAGCTGAGAAAACATTGTCCACATGCAACGCTCTGCCCGCAACAAACTTGCCATTAGAATCGCGCACCACTATTCCCACACCCCCATATGTATTACCTGCTGTCCAAGAGCCGTCCACATTAATTTTTAGACTTCCAGCGCAAGGTTTTGTCCAAGGCTGAGGCGCATAACAGCCCCGACCAAGAGCAGTCCCCTGGGGCCGAGCACGAACAAAATCCAGTAGACGAACAGCAGCACTAGAGCTTGTAAATTCTGGTTTGGGTGTTTGGTTATTCCATAGCTTGCCATTTCGAGCCTCCCAGATTGCCCAACCAATAACAAAAAAGAGGTCCAAATTAGCATATGATAAATGGTCAATACATGAGAGGACCCAATCATGCACATGGTGATATTGTTGAGAGATGCCACCGCTGCCAATTAAAGCACAGGCCCAGACTCCTCTTGCAAATGGGCAATGCCATAACACATGCAAAGTAGACTCCATTTCAGCCCCACATAAGTCACAGCATGTATCCAAATGTATCTTTCGTTTCCACAAGTTGTCCTTGGTTGGTAGAATGCCAGTGCAAGCTTTCCACCAAAACAATTTTATCTTGCTTGGAATCTTTGCCTTCCAAATAGCAGTCCACCCTTTACTAAAACCATTTCCAGTTGATGATGACGCCAGAGTCTGGGGATCAAGAACCGTACGGGCTACCTTGTAAGCACTTTTGACAGAGAATTGACCTTTTTTGTCAAAATGCCATGATGGAAGCTCAGCGGAAGAGTTCGGATCACATCCACATCAGGAGGGTAAAGGAGATTAGATAGAAGGTTAATATTCCAGCGTCGGGGGTGGTCAAGAATAAGCTCCTTCACCTTGGTAATAGCGCAACCGGTGGGTTTTGGTGGGAGAACCCGAAAGGTAGAAGGGCGTGGCAGCCATGGCTCCTTCCAAATATCAATCTCTGCCCCACTGCCCACCTGCCATCTAGATCCCTGCAAAAGAATTTTTCTGGCCGCACAGATACTTTTCCAAACATAAGAAGAATTGTCTGAAACAGGGACATCAAGAAAAGATTTATCAGGAAAATACTTAGCTCGTAGAACCCGTGCTATTAGGGAATCCGGATATTGTATGAGCCTCCATCCTTGCTTAGCTAACATAGCAAGGTTGAAAGCATATAAATCACGGAAGCCCAACCCCCCAACATCTTTGGGTTGGCAAAGCTTATCCCAAGCAAGCCAATGTATTTTCCTGTCGCCATTATTTCCGTTCCACCAAAAATCTGCAATTAAGCGGTTAAGATCATCACAAAAATATTTGGGCAATAAATAAACGCTCATCGAATACAAGGGAATAGCCTGTGCCACAGTCTTGATAAGAATTTCTTTCCCTGCACCGCTTAAGAGCTTTCCTTTCCAGCCATATAATTTTTTGCCCAACCGTTCCTTGAGATGTGCAAATGAGGAACCTTTGTTCCTGCCAACTACCATTGGAAGCCCAAGATACTTATCATAATGCTCAACACAAGAGACACCGAGAGATGCTGCTAGAACCAGTTGGTCTTGGTGCTTAATATTTTTGCTGAAGCATATTGCACTCTTCTGTAAATTAACTTGTTGACCGGATACCTATTCATACCAAGAGAGTGCCTCCTTGATTGTCCCACAATCTCCCACATTTGCACGGGCAAACAGGTAGCAATCATCGGCAAACATGAGGTGGTTGATGGGAGGCGCACCCCTACAAATGGAGACTCCTTTTAAGCGCCCATCTCGTTCCGCATGTGTAAGGAAACTAGAGAAACCTTGTGCACATAAAATAAACAGATAAGGGGATAGCGGATCTCCCTGCCTGAGACCCCTAGAAGGGTTAACGTAACCACATGGTGAACCATGAACTAGAAAAGAGTAAGTAACAGTGGTGACACAAGTCATTATAAGCCTAACCCATTGTTCTACAAAACCCAATTTCTTCATCATTTCTTCCAGGAAAGGCCATTCAATTCGATCGTAGGCCTTGCTCATATCGAGTTTCAGTGCCAAAAAGCCTTTCTTACCCCGTCGTCGACTCCGCAGGCAGTGGATAATTTCAGCAGCTAATATGGAATTATCCGAGATAAGGCGTCCTGAGACAAAAGTACTCTGACTGGGCGAGATCAGAGAAGGGAGGATAATTTTCAGGCGATTGGCTAGCACCTTGGAGGCAATTTTAAATAAAACGTTACAGAGGCTGATAGGGCGTAGTTGGGTCATGTCCTTTGGGTTTTTCACTTTAGGAATAAGTACCACATGGGTGAAGTTGATCTTGTGAAGTAGACGTCCTGAAGATAGAAAATTAATAATGGCTCGGGACACATCATTGCCCACAATGTGCCAATATTTCTGAAAAAAGACAGGTGGCATTCCATACGTCTTGGTGCACATATCAAGAGTCTTTTTTGTTGAATAAATGATAGTTCACAATGGGTTGTATATGAATAAATTAATGACAGACTGACACATCATTTGGTTAACAAAATTTGGTGAATTTTTTTAGTGCATATATTTGAATCAATTAATAACAAACAAGTCACGATTACTAATCCAGTTCCAACAATAAAAAACAAATTAACAAAGCAAAGCCAAAACTGAACATGCCCACCCTTACCCTATGCAATCCAATTCAACTCAAAATACATCCAAAGTATAATACGAGTAAAACTTCCATGCAATATGTTTCGTACTCTTTGTAATGTAAAGGATATAGAAAAAGAGATAAAGAGAAAGTTGTATGAAACATGAGAATACATAGGCGAGTTTTTCTCCCAAAATATTTCTTATCCTCAGATTTTTGCAAACAAAACCATGCTGATACATAGGGAGGGACTAAAGCCTCAACTCAAGGTACCAATTCAAAATTTCAGCTTTGGTTAATATCCGGAGCATGATATATATAATAACTGAAACTCTCGATCAAAATTTAAAAAAAAAAAGAATTACAGAAATTCAAAACATGGAGGAATAGTTGAGGGGAAAAACATACTGCAGCAAATTATCACAAGTCCACGGCTAGAAAATATAAATACAGTTTACTCATCCATGGAGTCGCTGCTGCTAGTTTCCTCCGCCATGGAGTCGCTGCTGCTGCTGCTCTGCTGATCATGTTGTGGTAGTGTAGGAACTGGTGTCGGCCACCATGGCAGCACAATTGGGAAGGGGTGGTGGGAATATTTATGCAGCCTCTTTTCAACCATCTTTTTCGACCACTTTCCAGTACGAATGTTGTACGTGACAACATCTCCATCCACAAATATATAGAAAACATCCTCATTCTCATCTTCAACTTCCTCATTGGTTGGATCGAAAGGTAGCAGCCCAACACACAATTCCTTATCCGGATACATATTCTGGTCCAGCGGATAATCCATGAGTTTACTCAAAACACAATTTGCCATCTTCTTCTTCTTTCAAATCCAAAATAACCAGACTTGTCTCATCCATGCCACACAGCCGCATGCAACCTCCATAAGCACCAAAGTACTGATACTGAAGGTAGCATAAAGGCTCATCAAGTTCAATGAAACTACACTTACCATTAACATCACTAAACGGATCGAATCCAATTACTATAAGGCGATCATTTTGATCCGAATCAAAATCCGAATCCGAATCCAACCAATACAACTTTCCAT